GTGTAATATGATGTATTAAGAACTATGTAATGTTTTGAATGACCAATAATAAAAAAAAGAAAAATAGCGATAGTGAACATAGACTATTCTTTCAAAAAGCTAGATAGTTGGGGGTTGAGGATCATGTGATTAGGGGAAGGACTTTTCAGATCTTGGGAAGCTTCAGCCTGTTTTGTGGACAAAAGAAAAGATTCACTTTAGGCTTTTTTTTTTAAGGAAATAATCACACAGATCTGAAAAGATGGTTATACCAGGATGTTTATAGGAATAAAAATAAATAAATAAAAATAAATAAATAAAATAAATGTACTTAAATAAGCAGGAAAACATCTATATAATTAAATACTGTATAACCATTAAAATTATGTAATCTAGTATATAGTACCTGAGAAAATGCTCAGTATATAAAAGTGAAAAATGCTTCATAAACCCCAAATAAAGCAAAGATAGGGCTGGACCTGGTGGTACACACCTGTAATCCCAGTGGCTTGGGAGGCTGAGGCAGGAGGATCCCAAGTTTGAGGCCAGCCTCAGCAATTTAGTGAGGCCCTAGACCCTGTCTCAGAAATAAAACGGGCTGGCAATGTGGCTCTGTGGTTAAGTGCCCATGGGTTCAATCCCTGATGCCAAAAATGGGGCAAGGGGATATGTTTGTATATAGAGAAGTTTAGAAAGGTATCTACCAACATGTAAAAATGTATTTTTTCAGACTGAAAAGATTGTGTTTATTTTTATTTTCTTTGTCCTTTTGTTTGCTCCATTTTTCATGATTACGTATCACTTCAGTAAAGAAGGTAGAAAGACTTTTTAAAAAGAGAAAGTCCAGGTATAGGAGTTATTGGAGAGGTGGGTAAGCTCTACTCTGGTTCAAAGTAGGGACCATTGAACAGCTCAGATGCCTGAGGAAATTAGGTAGAAGGCCATCTGCAAAAGATAAAGGTGGGAAGTTAGGACTTCAGAAATGTGGAAAATGAAAAGGGTCCTTGTCAGATTTTATAGTTTTGTCCACAGTGAGGAGGATAAAAAAAAATTTAAAAACTGTCACCGTCCTCTGATGAAATAAGAGGAAATCTGAGGATTCTCGGGAGTCCAGCTGGACATGCGTAACAACATCCAATGCAGTTTCTCTGGCATGTGTATAATATATATAACTGAGATTGAATCCCTTTTATTGTGAGAGAAGTATGTGGGGTGAGAGTTGCCCTCTGTGAAAATGCTTCTCAACAGCCCTTTTTTTCAGAATTACCTCAAATTAAAATTGTAAACAGGATTGCATGGAGAATACAATATGCCTAAACAAATGGACTGCACCAGTCGTTTTATAAGCAATGAGTTTTGTACAAGTAATTGATGGCTTCTCATACTTAGGTCCTCTAACCTTTCCTTCTCAGCACTACTTTGTCTACTTATCTCTCATTACTGTTTATGTAAAAATAATAAAGTTACATTTGTTTTAAAATTCTCTGCATGTCAGATTTTTACATGGTCTGACTTTTCCTTGAATTAGTTTAAATAAATTAGTAGTTCAGTTTCCTTAAATTAGTTAAAATGACAGCAATATATATCTAAGCATGGCTGTTAGAATTTCGAGAGCTCTGTGGCATAAAATCTTAAAAACTCAACTTCATCCAGTCATGGTTGTATACACCTGTAATCCCAGCTATTCAGGAGGCTGAAGCAGGAAGATCAGAAGTTCAAGACCAGCAAGGACAACTTAGACCCTGTCTCAAAATAAAATTTAAAAAGGGCTAGGTATGTCCTTCAGTGGTAGAGTGCTTGTCTAACAGGAAATAGTCTCTGGTATACCCACTACTGCAGTCTCCAGTACCACAAAATACCAAACAAACAAACAAAGAAAAAAAAAGTCAAAATGACAAAATATATACAAATTGCTGATAAGCACATAAAAAGATGAAACCTTCAAACACTGGTGAGAATGTGAGATGGTACAACTATTTTTAGAAATACTTTGTCAATTACTTTGATAATGACACATATATTCTACCATAGATTCCAATCATCACACTCCTAGCTATTTTCCTAAGAAAAATGAAAATGCTATGCCCTTTCATAGACTTGTTTGCAAAAGTTCACAGAATCATTATTTGTAATAAATAAATACTAGAAATAACCAAATGTCTCTGAGCTGATGAAGGAAAAGTAACATGTGGTTTCTTCATACCATGGAATATTAGATGCCATAAAAAGGAATGAAGCATTGATCCATGCTACAGCATGGATGAGCCTTGATAACAAAGACTGCATAGTGTATGATTCCATTTATATGAAATTTCTATTAAAGCAAAACTGTAGAGTCAAGAAGCAAATAAGTGGGTGTATAGGTCTGAGGGAAGGAGCATGGATTGATCTCACATGGTACAAGGAAACTTTTGGGGTGATGAAGTACAATAGTTGGATTGTGGTGGTGATAGCACAATTGTATTAATTTACTGAATCTTGTCATACTGTCTCTAAATACCTGCATCATCAAAAAACGACATCATAGCAATTATTCATAAAATTTAGTGGTTCTTTTAAGTCTCAATTTTTTATCTTTAAAACACATATCTTTAAATTAAATATTTAATTTTTGAATAAGTATTCTTTCTGCAGCTTAGGAGCCAAATAAGAGTCCATATTTTGTCAATTCAAAGGCCAAAAGGTTATTTCCATTGTATCAGGCCTTTAAAGTGTAGAATAGACCTGTTTAGCCAATGATTAAATTTAATCCCATAATTATTATAGGTTGAATGGTGCCCACGAAATTTGTATGTTAGTCCTGAGCCCTAGTACCTCAAAGGACAACCTTATTTGAGATAAAGTCTTGTGATGATTTAAAAGATGAGACTTAAGGAGTAAGTCCCCACTTCAACATGATTCGTGTCCTCATAAAAAGGGATGATTTGGACACAGAGGCATGCACACAGAAATAATGCCAGGTGAAGATTTGTGTTATGCTGCCACAAGCCCAGGAACTTACAGATGCTAGGAGAGTGGCACGCAACAAGCTCCTGCATAGATAGGGCAACATGGCCCTGTTTACACCTTGATCTCAGACTTCCAGCCTCCACAACTGTGAGACAACCAATTTCTATTGTTTAAGCCACCCAGTTTTAGTACTCTGTAATGGCAGCCTTGATAAACATAACAATCACATTCATGGAAATACTGTCAAAATGCAGTATGGCTCTGTTTTTTAACATCTAGACACACCCAAAAGCAGTCTCTGTAGACAGACGAAAATCAACAGATCCACTGGTTCCCAGTGTTCCATCTTCTTCACTCTCTTCTAGACACTGATGGATATTTTAAAGCGGGACTTTGTATATAGTTAGAACATTATATTTTAAATTTAAGCAGTATCTTAGCACTGCCTTCTGAATCACATATTTTTCTCTGACAGCTTGTTCTGACAGGAGCCATTCAAGTTGCAGACAAAGTTTCTTCAGGGAAGAGTTCAGTGCTTGTGCACTGCAGTGACGGATGGGACAGGACCGCTCAGCTGACATCCCTGGCCATGCTGATGTTGGATAGCTACTACAGGAGCATCGAAGGCTTTGAAATACTGGTACAAAAAGAGTGGATAAGTTTTGGACATAAATTTGCATCTGTAAGTTAACAATGAAACTAATTTGGGGAGGGGTACTGGGGATTGAACCCACAGACACTTAGTCACTGAGCCACATCCCCAGCCCTTTTTATTTTTTTTATTTTGAGACAGAGTCTCACTAACTTGCTTCAGGCCTTGCTAAGTTGCTGAGACAGTCTTTGAACTTGCAATCCTCCTGCCTCAGCCTCCCAAGCTGCTGGGATTACAGGCAAGCAATACCATGCCTGGCCAATAAAACTAATATTTAAAAAAAATCAAATCACTGCCATTTGGGATTGAAACACTAGTTGCTAAGCCATGTATTCAATACCAAAACAAAAATCTGAGAAATGTAAATAAAGAAACACTTTACAGGTTTGAAAATGTGTGATGCCGTAGGTTGATAAAAGTTGTTTTAGGAGACATGTTTATCCATCTGCACTCTTTATAGTTTCACTTGAAAGTAATAGAGTCTGCATAGAAATGTTTAAATTGAAATTTCACAAAAAAGAGAAGATAGATAACAGTTTACTCTGAACTAATATTATAGCTAATAAGGCCAAATATGTTTTATAGAAATGCCAGATTTTAGTTTAGGCTTTTTATTATTTTTCTCTGATATACATTTAAAAATCATCAAGAGAATCTCTTAAAATCCATATTCTCAGGTCTTGCTTCAAGATGTCCTTTGAATAAGTGTTTTAACCAGCTTCCCACTGATTCACAGGAAGGGAACCCAGACATCACCTTTTTTTTTTCTGATACTTGTGGATTGCACTCAGGGGCACTGGACCACTGAGCCCCATCCCCAGCCCTATTTTGTATTTTATTTAGAGACAGGGTCTCACTGAGTTGCTTAGGGCCTCATCATTCCTGAGCCTGGCTTTGAACTCGAGATCCCCCTGCCTCAGCCTCCTGAGCCACTGGGATTACAGGCATGCGCCACCATTCCTAACCTTCAGCCATATTTTATCAGTAGTATGAATGTATGAATAACATCTTCAAGTAGAAAACATTGTGATTTAACAAGTGAATGCATTGTGAAGTTGCTGGTTTCATCTTTAAGAGCAAAAGAAGTTTTAATTCTAATGATCACAGTTTTGGGATATGATTTCAAGCCTTGAAACTTTGAACTTAATCCCTTTATGACAGAAATAACTATGTTAGATGTCTTGTACCACACTGCTCAGGGTAATCCAGTCCTGTGTTCTATCTATAGCTGTCCACAACTCCTACAAAACTGTAGTTATATAGAATAATTGTAGTAATAACATAGGATTATGATGTTTCACCGATTTTAGTGGTATTTTATAGTTTATATATCTAATTTCCATTATTATAAAACCTTCTATTATTTATCTATATTTTCACAGAAATATATACTATTAACTATGATAAACTTGGCATTTAGAAGGAAGATTGCTGAATTGTATAGTCAGATTTTGTGGCTTATATGCTTTCTCAGTTTTATACCCATGAATTAAACAAGTCATCTTCACCAATTCATTTCAGAGAATAGGTCATGGTGATAAAAACCACGCTGATGCTGACCGATCTCCTATTTTTCTTCAGTTTATTGATTGTGTATGGCAGATGTCAAAACAGGTAAGGAATATATGAGATTAAAACACAGTCAATTTAATGTTTAAATTGAATATTGTGTTATATAATATCTGGGTTTTACCCCCAAAATATGCAGGACAAGATAAAGATTAAATAAAATCAGCCATGTGTGAATAATTGTTGAATCCAAGTGATGCCTATGCAGGAGTTCATTTTATTATTGTGACTACTATTCATATGTCTGGAATCCCCCATAATAAAGTTTTCAAGTTTAAATTTTATCTGCATTATCTCTGCTAGTGGAAGATCAATGTAACTGTCTTTTATATTCATTCTATATGGGCATTTAGATGTAGGCATGTCTGCTAACGTGTAATGCCTTAAAGAATTCAAGTAAAATCCAGAAAATGAAACTCTTGACACCTTTTCATCTTTTCCCTTTACTTGATGCATATTGAAATTTCTCAGTTCTGTGTAAAGTGCAGGCCCTGCTGTCCTTCTCAGAACCCTACAGTGTGGCAGCATTTGGTCCTTCCTACCATAGGTCTTTTTGGTTCTATAAAATATTAGTCTCAGCCATTCATACCTTGCTTGCTTATTTGTTTTTGTCTAGTTCCCTACAGCTTTTGAATTCAATGAACAGTTTTTGATTACAATTTTGGATCATCTGTACAGTTGCCGATTTGGTACTTTCCTATTCAACTGTGAATCTGCTCGAGAAAGACAGGTGAGTAAAAATGCTAATCTTTCTGTAAAGGCTTGCCAAGATGTATCTAGTGTGCCATATATCAAGAAGAATATGAGAGTTTGTGAGATGCTGACTTTGCCCACAAAAAGTAGGAATGACTTTAAAGCCATGCAGGTTTTCCCTCCCAAAATCCATGATAATGTTGGTGAAATGAATTGTATTATAAAGGTCATAAACCTTGTAATAATAGGGGAAAGAAAGAGATATAGCAACAAATTTTAAAAGCTGGGAATCCCATAGATAAGTGATTAATAATTTAGCTTCAGAAAACCAAGATCTCACACCAACAGTAGAGAAGCCAAGAACCAAGCCACTTTGAATTGCATGAACCCTGGACAACTCCAGGTTGAACTCTACCAGGTAAGTATCTGGGGTGAAGGAGGAAGATACCTTGAAGAGCCCTTTAGAATAAGCTACACAAATTCCCTCCATTCCTCTCTGGAACTAAAGACTCTGGCAGAGGTTTCCTGCCAAGAGAGGGTGCTTGAAGAGGTGCTGCACTGTGATAGCCCCACTTCTCTTCCCTCACTCCCTCCCAGTGTTCTGGAACCAGGTCTTCATCATTCAGATGGGAGCACCAAAGAGCCATCTCTGTTGGTGAGGATAGTGAGACAATGGATCCCTCCTAAATTGCTAATTGGGATGGAAAATGCTACAGCTGTTATGAGAAACTGGTGATTCCTCAAAAAGGGAAATACAGAATTATCATCTGACCCAGTAATTTCGCTCCTAGGTATATACTCTAAGGAACTGAAAATAGGAGTTGAAACCAAAACTACACATGTATATATTTACAATAGAATGTTAACAGCCCAAATATCTGTCAGGATGAATGAATAAAACAAAATGTGGTCTATCCATATGATGATATTATTATAATATTATTCAGCTATAAAAGTGAAGGAAATATTCATATCACAATTAGGATGGACCTTGAAATCATTGTTCTAAGAAAAAGAAACCTGATGCAAAAGATTACATAAAATACAATTCCATGTGTGTGGAATTTCCAGAATAGATAAACCCATAGGGACAGAAAGCACATTAGTTGCCAGAGGCTAGAGGCAGGGGAGCATAGGGAGTGCCTGTTTCGTGGGTATGGGCTTTCCATTTGTGTAAATGGGAAAATGTTTTGGAAATTGATAGAGGTGATAGCTGCATGACATTGTGAATGAACTAAAAGCCACTGAATTCTATAGTTTTAAAATGTTTTATTTTGTGGTATGTGATTTTTACATCAGTTTAAAAAATTATCTCTGGGAAAACTAAGTTTTCTCAGAAAAACAACTTGGAAAAAATAACAGAGGAAGGGAGACAGAGAAGAAGCTACTATCTGATATCCTCAGAAGAATAAGAAAAATATTAACATCAGAAAATAAGGAGATAGTATATGGAAAAACATTTAGAGACCAGAAAAGAACTTTGAAATTAAAAACATGATACCAGCCAGGCATGGTGAGGCATGCCTATAACACTAGAACTTGAGAAGCTGAGGCAGGAGGACTGCAAATTCAAGAACCATCTCAGCAACTTAGCAAGGCCCTGAGCAACTTAATGAGACCCTGTCTCAAAATAAAGAATAAAAAGAGTTGGGGATGTGGCTCAGTGGTTAAGCAACCCCAGGTTCAATCCCTAGTTAACACCCCCACAAAAAAACAAAACAAAACAAAAAAGCCATGGTATCAACAGAAATGAAAAACCAAGAAGAGGTAGAAAAGGAAGTTGAAAAAAAAATCTCAGAAAATAAAAACAGGAAAAATAGAAAAGAAATGAAAAAAAAAAAAGATTAGTCTTGAAGGTCCAATATCCAAAATAATAGGAAAAACAGGGGAAAAAGAGGAAATCCAGAGAGAAGAAAGTTTAACTTAAATAATAATTTAAGACTATTTCAAAGAATTGAAATAGATAAGTCATTTTAAAGGCTCACGAAGTGCCAAACAGGGTAGATGAAAAGAGACTTATACTAAAGCACATCTTAGTGACATTTCTGATCACCAAGGACAAAGATCCCACAGCTTTTCTCTGAGACAAAATGAATGAGTTATGGGTTGAGCTTCTCTAATCCAAAGTGTGAAAGCTTCAAAATCTAAATAGTTTTGGAACACTTACATGACCCAAATGGAAAATTTCATATCTATTTTCATGTAACTGGCCATAGTCAAAACATGGGCACATTAAAATATTGTATAAAATTAATTTTAATTTTTGTGTATTTGGTATATAAGAAACATAATGAATTTCATGTTTAGACTTGGATCCCATCTCTAAAACGTACCTTAGTGTGTATATGCAAATATTCCAAAAATCTGGAAAAAATCCTAAATCCAAAATAAATCCAGTCCCAGGCATTTTGGATAAGTGATACTCAACCTGTGTTTGCAAAGAAACAGAAATCAGGAAGACTTTGGATTATTCAACAGCAGTATTGGAAGTTAGAAACCGCATAGAGCATTGCATTCAGAATTCTAAAAGAAAGTGGCTTAAACCTAGCTTTCTATAGCTACCAAACTGTCAACAAAATTTGAAGGTAGAACAGAAATATTCTTGGATACACACAGCTGCAAGAGTGCCTCCCATACTATACTATTTCTCTGGAAGCAACTGAAATGTATGCACTCCACAATAACAATAAGCCTAAATAGAAAAAGGCAGAGGGATCTCAAGGGTGATATATTATACATGTATATCAAGACATCACATGGAACCCCATAAATATGTACAATTTTATGTTTCAGTTAAAATGTAAAGATTAATTTTTTTAAAAAAAGTAAAAATAGAACTACTGTATAATCCAGAAATCCCATTATGAAGTATATGTTGAAAATAAATTAATATGTCAAAGACATCTGTATTCCCGTGTTCAGGCACCACGATTCCTAATAGCCAAGAAATGGAAACAACCTCTGTATCCATCAATGGATGAATGAATGACGAAAATGTGGTACATATACCCAATGGAATATTATTCAGCCATAAAACAGAATGAAATCCTACCATTTGCAATAACATGAATGAAACTGGAGGACATTATGCTGGGGTGAAATAAACCAGGCACAGAAAAAAAAATACTGTACGATCTTTTTTCTCTATGGAATCTAAACAAATGTTGAACCCATAGTAACAGAGAATGGAAGGATAATTACCAAGGGCTCAAGGTGGGTAGGGGAGAAGAGGAGATATTGTTCAAAAGGTGTAAACCTTCAGTTAAGAGATGAGTAGTACTAGAGACCTAATGTGCAGCTTGGTAACTAGAGTTAATAATGGCATATTATAGACTTCAAATTGGTTAATAAGGTAGATCTCAAGTGTTCTCACCACAGAAAAATGGTAACTGTGTTAGGTGACCTATATGTAATTAGCTTGATTGTGGTGATTATTTCACAATGTGCACAAATCAAAGTATTATGTTGGCTGGGAAAGTTGGTGCATACCTGTAGTCCCAGTAGTTTGGGAGGCTCAGGCAGATCACTTGAGTCTAGGAGTTCAGGGCCAGTCTGGGCAACATAGTGAGATCCTGTCTCAAAAATATAAATTTAAAAAATTAAAAATCAAGGGGCTGGGGTTGTGGCTCAGCAGTACATTGCTCACCTAGCACACGTGAGGCCCTGGGTTCAATCCTCACCACCATATAAAAATAAATAAATAAAGGTATTGTGTCCAACTATGACAAAAATTAAATATTAAAAAATTAAAAATCATATATAAATTGCATAACCTAAGTAGAAACTGTTAGACCAGGACACAAGAAAAGACCACTGACTCCAATTAAAATCAAATTAAAGCAAGCTTATTATTTCGACCGGCCGGGCTGCCTCTCCCACCCAAAACCGCGGGAACAAAACAGCAGCCCCACCTTTCCTACAGCCCAACTTTATAGCCCAGAA